ATGAAGATGTTAAAGAGCACCGGTCCTAATCAGACCAGTCAGGACTAGGTCTTTTGGTGCCATACCTCAGGGCTTTCTGGAGTCTCTGGATGCAGTCTGCTGCCAAGGGGTGATGTTTCCGGGACTGCAGGAACCTCTGGACGTGGGGCAGGAGGATGTTACTTGGAGGGAAAAGGCCTGTACACAACCACAACAGCTCCCAGCCTTTCTCTTCACTATACCTACACGAGGAGAGACCCAGGAGGGAAAATATCACTCATGGCATGGACAATCCAGATCTGCTTTGCCCAACACAGGCTAGTGTGTTTGGGCCAAGGAGAAGGAATGGATCTTACTTGATGTGGTTGTCTGTGAGCTGCTTGAGGGTCTGGCAGTAGATTTCATCCTTCAGGGGTTCAGCTTTCAAGGCACCTTCAAATATTTGGTCTGTCAGCTCATTAACTGAGCGGGTCCTTTTGGATGGGTAGTCACCCATGTACTTCAGCACTGGTGGGAGCTAGGAGTCAAGGATCAGCTAACTGGGATGTTTGGGGAAGACTTCTGTTGGTGATGTGATTCAAGACATCCTACATATAACTACAGAAGTAGTGGTGGAGGGGGCACAGTGTATGGTAAAGGCTTTAGATTTCTTTAGGACATGTCCAGCAAGCTCTCTCCCTTTATCACGCATCATCTCAGGTTGAAATAATTGTTTTGGGGTCAGGGTATGTAGACCTAAGAAAGCTGTATGTGGTCACGTGTTACCTGATCACACATACAGGTGCCAGATTTTCAGCTGGTGTCAGACACCAGTGGAGCTGCAGTGACATAAACCAAATGGCGACCTTCAGCATCGTGACATATTGCAACTATTTCACATGAGAACAGGCCACAGATTTCTGAATTAATGGGTATGACACAGCAAAAGGAAAAAGATAAAATTGCAAATGTCCTCTAATTTTTTTGCCAGTTCTTTCAATTCCTTCTGTTATTTCCTAGCAAGAGGAAACCAGTAGTAGCAGCAATAGTGTAATATTAATCGGTTACAGACTTATTCCAACAGAACTGTTCAAACCATAAAGTTTGGATCCCTGAGCAAAGCCTCACCAAAAAATAACGACTACTTCAACAGATTGGATCTATGTTTGCACCCAGCTCGTCTCTCCCATGCTGTGTATTTTCTGCCAAGTAAGGGATATTCAGGCATCAAACCTTGTCCCCGAAGCCATGTGGGCTGGTTTGTATCCACACTAATTAGATCTACACCCTTCCACATTTGGAGAGACACAGATCATAGAATCATTAAAGTTGGAAAAGACCTCAAGGAACATCAAGTCCAACCCAACACCACCGAACCCACTATACCACGTCCCGAAGCACCACATCTACATGTTTCTTGAACACCTCCAGAGATGGTGACTCCACCACTTCCCTAGATGAAGGAAGCCAGAACAGAGCTGTTTGAGTTGACCACTGAGCAGTGTGGACCAGCAGGACTCATTAACTTGCTCTCTGGCCCTCATTTCTTAAGAAGTACCAACACCCTTCAGATCTCAAGGATGCTTGAATATAGATTTCAGGATCAGACCCATCTTCAAGCCTCTGACATGGTCCCAAAGCCCTTAAGAAGGACCACAAACCTTTCCATGGACTTTGCTTGGGGCCGCAAAGAGCCTGCTCAGCCCTTTGCCTGCCAGACCTGTTGCCCAAGGGGTGCAGTGGAAGGATATCAATGAAGGCCATGCAGGCTTCTTGGGACAGTTCCTCACTGCCCAGGATCTTCTTCAGCAATGGTTGTTTGATGGGCTCACGGGTGTAACACCACAGCTTGTCCTTCCCACGGCTTTTGGTGATCATGACCCGGCTCAGGGTGTGCTTGGGAGGTGGCCTGGTGGCAAAGGCAAAGCAAGAGGAAAGATGGAGAGGTTACAGGGCTGAAAGGGACAGCTTGTGTCCAGTGCTCTACTGGGCTAAGGAACTCTTACATCAAATGGGAATTTAGTTTAGCAAGTATCCAGCTCCAGTTCTAACCAAAAATAACCATTTGTACTTTCCCAGGGCTCTGAAAAGTCCCTTAAGGACCCTACCCAAGTACTGACACTAAAATAATGTTCTCTACCCCAAAAACCTTCTAACCACAAAAGGAAGGATTATGGCGATGGATGGTCAGGGCAGCAGCACTGAAAGAATATTGCCTAGCAGAACAAGCCTACCAAGGTGAAGGAATCCCAGAGGATCTGATCTGCCTGTTTGGATTTCCAGCCCATCTGAATAGGAGTGGGAGTTTTGGGATCAGTCTCGTCAGCAGTGGTGCACATTTAAATCTTTGGAGCTGAGATGAAATTGTCTGCGCTTAATTCAGCTGTGTATGGGATCATAGGAGAGGAATATCAGACCACTAAGCACAGCCTCCCACATAATAATAAATTTCACTCTGTTATACCTGTGCTGAGCCAATTGGAAGAAATCCTTCATAAGATCTTGTCTGTGGAATACCTACAGCTCAAATGCCATGACCTAAACTGGAGGCTGCAATTGTACAAAGCCACACAAAAGAACCTTTAAGGTCTTTTCTAGTAGTCAAAAATTTCCTGATTCCCAAGCTACCTGGAGATGTATTCCTACTCTTATAATTTTTGAAGATGGTTTAAAAAATCACCTAAAATAATCATAGGAAAATTCCTCCAAGGTGTATGGCTTCACTCTCTCTTCACTGTCTGAAATTGCCAGCTGAGAGGTTCTGATAACATCTTGTCGTTGGTCAGGGGTCATCGTGACCAGTGCCTGTGGGATGAAAAGGTCTCTGTTACCCAGTATATTTGATATAATATATATCTGATGTATTCAGAGAGATGAAGCAGATACAAAATTAAAAGAACAACAGTGAGTGAGTAAGAATAACCCATTAATTCCAGTTAATAGTCAGTAGGAACTGTGCAATTGTCCTTCTTCTCTGCCATTCTCAGTCACTAATATAAGGAACAGCAAATGTTTCTGTAGTGTGGATAATTTCCTAATGAAGATTATGTGGTCCTACAGCTCCATATGCAAATGTGCCCACCAACCCCAAATACAGCTACACATAGTCAGGACAGCTGGAGGGATATAGCAGCGTTCATGGATATTCCAAGTCACAGGCTTGGGGTGTTCAAAGACCACAAAAGGCTGAGATCACTTCTGCCTTGGACAACTTGTCACCTCTCAGCCACTCTGGCATCCCCCTTATTGTCAGGGAGACTCTGGCCAGATCTAAACTCTTCACAAAGGCTTTGACCTCCTCGGGCTTTGTATCAAGTTGTGCCGTTCTGTAAGACAGCTTACCACGATCTCCAGTGGAGGCATGGTGACTGTAGGCAAGACGTAGACGGAGTCTGTGGGGAAATCCCCTCTCTGCTTGGTTCGTTCATTGAACCCATTAGCCCACCCTGAGTTCATCACATGTTCTCCCGTGTCCTGGTCCAGAACTATGAGGTCACCTTTAAGGAAGCTGAGGAACCCAGATTCTTCTCCCACTGCAAGAAGAACAACCATTAGTTTATTTTCCAAATCCTTTTGGAGTAATTAATCTGTCTACATGTTTGCCACTGGGCTGGGCCATTTACTTACCAGGGTTTGGGTTATCTTGGAGAGTGACCACATACTTAGACCTTTTCCTCAGTCCTTCAAGGAAGGTCACCACCAGGTCCCGGATATCCTCTGCATTGTTGGAGGTGAAAGTGTATTCATCGCCTTTAATGGTGGCCAAGGTGAAACTCTGTCCTTGCAGCTTTCCCCCTCTGGGATATATTTTTATAGGAGACATAAAGGGGAAAGATAACAGCATCAAGAGGCAAAGCCTGGAAAAAGACTGTTTTGGAGTGAGATGGGCAGATAAGTCTATTCCTCCTTACCTGCTGCTCGACACAGCCGTGATCTCTGGGAAAGAGAGCTCTAAGAGAACCTGCTCCTGTTCATCCACAAAGTACACCCCTGTCCAGTTGACAGCTACAATCACATCATTTTTAGGCAGGCTTGGCCCTGGGTTGGAGACAAGACATGCAATCAGTTCATGAAGGGTCTTAGGATATAGAAAATTTCAAAGGAGGATACAATGATCAAAAAATTTAATATTTTTAGTAAGAGAAATAGTGGCAGACTCATAGCTTGAGTCATTGCTAATCAAGATGCACCAAAAAATAATGTATCTAAAAAAGACCAGCTAGATGGTCCATTAAGTCTTCTTGTCTGTGAAGTTCCTATCTCTCCTTCCTTTTGCTTTGGAGCATCCTGTACACCAGCGATGTCCTCTACTGACTCACCTGAGAATTTGAAGGCTTCGTAAAACCGAGAAAACAGCAAAGGCCACTTGAAACGTGCAAAATCCACTACTTCTTCCTTGACTTTTTTGGGGTCTGTCCTCTTCTGAGTATAAATTCCCTACAGACAAAGCAGATTACAACCAGCATGAAGCACAAACCCAGTTAGAGCCAGGAAGAGAGCAAATAAAACCAACTCTTGTCATCTGAAGATCTTGGAACTAAGATTAATTTAGGTCTTAATGAAGCTACAGGAACAAATGATATGTTGGACAAAGTTCCAGAAAAATTTTGGTTCCCACTTTGAGGAATAATTCAACTCTGAGAAGGCAAGCATCTAGAGAGACCAGTCTGGGTGGCATTCATCTCAGCTAACTTTGGGTTTTCCTAAGGTCTACCTTTCAGCTTGACAGCTTTTAAGCAGAGGTGTCTAACTTCATTTAGGACATCCTCAGGTACCTGATACTCCTCTATGTAGCTGATAGGCTGACCTGCAAGATCCAACTGAATTGCATCCCTGGGTCTCTATTGACTGTAATGGTTGATGAGGTTCCTAACACATGTGGAGATGCTCACATTTTAGGGGTCTTAGTCCGAAGCTGGCTCCTGCTGTTGCTTGAATGCCAGTTCTCATGCCTGGATGAGTTACGGGTGATGAGTTATGGAAGGTGTTGCTGTGGGAGGGTGCCACAAGTGTTCTTATGGAAGTCAGGGAGGTTTTATACAACGCCTGGCACAACAAGGTCCTGATGTTGCCTGGAGACATGAACCATGACTGGAATACAACCGGTAACACCATAATCCTGTGCACCAGGAATGAGACCCCAGAGGTGGCATTTTGCTTCTCACGGTGAATCTCTCCATGTCTTCCTCTGTCAGATCTTGCCTCAAAACCAGTGGTAAGGCTGAACATAGCTAGTATAAAACCTGCCCTTTCTCGTAGATTTAGCTTCAGGCCAGGCTAAGAGCTGAGCTATGATGTCTGATGCATGTTTAAAAGGAACACGAAGCTACTGAAGCACGCCTTGGTCCTTGCCAGATGATCTATTGTCCCCACCTTTTTATGTGCAGCTATAATGAGCTGAGCCCATTTTTCCACTGTTTTTGAAGCCGTGATCTCTCTGTCTGGGATGTAGGATGGAATTAGATTCAGCAGCCTTTCCAGTACCATCTCTGACCCATAGTCCACATAGTACTGCTGGGAAGCCAGTTCTGCCAGATCTTCTTCCTGTGGGAGCCAAACAAGCCAAGTTAATGCTGTTACCAAGCCATCACCTCAACATCCATCCTCCATCACTCAAGGAGTTCTTTCTGAAGGCTCAATGTACTGCTGCTTTAGCTTGGTGTGGGGATGCTTCCTTTCAGCAGAACTTCACCAGTGCTTTTTGCACACCTAAGGTTTGGGAGATTGACCACTAAAAGCTATGATCAAGCCTTATTATGTTCAGTAACCAGCACCATGCAACCTTGTACTGTGACTGAACACAGAATCATTATGGTTGGAAAAGACCTTTAAGATTATTGAGTCCAACTGTAAAAACATGTTTGTCCCAGTCTTTCCATTCAGTTCAGTCTTCTTCTGAGGCCTGCAGTCAGCAGTGGGTGATTTTGCTATGGTAGATGGAGTTTAATGATTGAAAACTGCATGTATCTGTCATTTTTCATACTGGAGAAACCCAGAAGCTGAAGCACCTGTGCATAACGCAGAACTGTAAAATGTCCTTTGGTGCGACTACATTCCAAGAACATTAGGGTGAAAGAATTGAGCTACCGAGATGATAATAGCAAAAGGAGACCAGGAGCAAGGGAAGAGGAAGAAAGAACAGGAATTCTGATAGGATAGAAGAGCTGCAGTTAATGAAATACAGATGGGAAAAAGATTATTTATTTCCCAAAGACTGGACTGTACTGGACCACAGGAGAATGATTTGGTGTTGGGGAAGAGAGATGTCTCCAATTTGACACCTGGATGATTTTAAACACAAGCAAAAAAAAAAAAAAATGCGATGGACATTGTCAGAGATTTTGATGTCTTTTGAGATGCCATTTCAGTGACACTGGAATAATTCTGTAAGCTCCCAGAGACTTTAGAGGCACAGGTTTCTGCTGCCAATGTCCCTTCAGCATATGGCAATATTATTTGGTTTATATTGCATGGCAGAGATCTGGTTATCCTGAAAAGTATCTCTCATGTCTAAGTTTTAGCAGGATTCACCAAACAGGATCCTTCTGTGTACTCCTGATCTGGTCACCTGGTTACAGACTACCTGTGGTCCTCCAAGCTGAAGCTGATGGATGAAGTGGCCCTTCACTCTTCCATCCAAAATTCACCAGGAGAGAGTGCTTATACAGAACATGGGAGTGTCCGGTTTCTCTGAAGCCAAGACGATTTGACTGCTGTAGCTACTGTTTCCCAAGTGAATACCATAATCCCCGAACTAGCAGGTGTTCAGGGAGGAAAATTTCCCATCCCCTTTGATGAAACCTGGTGAGACCACTAATTGTTGAGGACACTCACCTTGTCACACCGGTACTCCCCAAACTTCACTCCTCGCACGATCTGTTGGTAAATGAGATTGGTGGCCACATTGTCCTCACTCGGGTTGTGCCAAGGAGTGAAGATCTCCTTCCTGAAGAAGAGCCGCCACGGCGCGTTGCGCTCCTGTGCTCCCTGCTCCTTGGCGTACTGCTCGCACTGAGACACCGCGTCCATCACATGGTCATTGCCGCTGCCCAGCGAGGAGACCTGGTCAGGGCAGAGGCAAACATTTTATTTTCAGCCACCATTTCCCATCCAGAATGAAAGGAAAACATCAATGTGAATTAGAAAAGCCAATGGTCCCATTATAAAATATGGTTTATTCATACTGTGCTTTGAAACACCCTGTTTTCCAAGTCATGGACTTGGATCCAACCACGATAAGCATTAGACAAACCCAGAATAGAAAGCCTGTCCTGTTACAGGAGATTTATCACCTCTGTCTTCTCACTGTGGTCTGGCACGAGGCCCTAAAGCACTATGTGTCCTCAGAGTGAACATCCCTGAATGAATACCTCCTCAGAAAAGACCAAGAGTCATATCATAGAATTATAGAATGGTTTGGGTTGGAAGGCACCTTAAACATCATCTAGTCCAACCCCCCTGCCATGGGCAGGGACACCTCCCACTAGCCCAGGTTGCCCAAAGCCTCATCCAGCCTGGCCTTGAACCCCTCCAGGGATGGGGCATCCACAGCTTCTCTGGGCACCCTGGGCCACTGCCTCACCCCCCGCACAGGGAAAATATTCTTCCTAATATCTAATCTAAATCCACCTTTATCAGCTTAAAACTGTTAGATGGAGTAATAAACCATTTTCTTCTCTGCCCACAAGCAGAGGTGGCCACATACGTGTTTCATGGGCTTGCACATACTGTCTCACCTGATGAAGTTTTTCCCTAGGTTTGTTTTCCCTCCTCACCCCTATTTTTATGTAATTTCTGAAAAAGTATATGTTTTTACGTTAAATAAATAGGGTTAAAAGCCTGTGCAATTATGGCTGTTAGGATTTTAGCTCATTTTGGAAGCTTAATTTCAACCATCACCTTTCCAATTAAGTAGTTGCTCCCTTGCATAAAAATCCAGGATGTTTGTTTTACTGGAAATTCAATTCTAAGTAGCTTGGCTGAGGGCAAGAGCTCAGCATCACAGAATAATGTAGGTGGAAAGGCATTTCTGGAGGTTTCTTATCCAGCCCACTGGTCAGAGCAGGTTCGTCTTTGATCAGGTTGCTCCATGCCTTCTCCTGTTAAATGCTGAATATTTCCAAGGAGGGAGATTTCTCTGTCTACATGACCCTGCTCCAATGTTTGACTACTCTTATTGTGAAAATCACGCACTGTAGCAATGTTCCTTCCTGACCTCAAGGTTGTCCATTTGCTAACAGCACAGGGTCCTTCCAACCTCTGGAAGATATGGGACAGCAAGAAGAACCTCCCTCTTCTTTGATATGGTTAGTCAGGAATATAATTTAAGAGATACCTTGTCAAAAAGTGCGATATAAAGCGAGAAGCCAAATCGATCCTTCAGGCTGATTTTGTCGGCCAAGGAATTACAGAGCTCTTTAGCGGTTGTTGCGGAGTCGGTCAACAGTGTTTTTGTTGTCCCATCCATAAATGTGACAGGCAGCATGATTGGTTTCTTGGATTTGGTTGCCTAATGGATTAAAGTCAAATTTTATAAAGGCATGTGCATTTCAATCCCATCGAGGCTATTTACCTACTAACTCTTCCACTCAACTAACCACTTTCTAATTCCCAGTCCCTGTGACTGGCTGCTTTTCAATACTACCATAACATAATTCCCAACCATAATATAATTCCCAACAAGATAATGCATGGTCAGCCACTGGAAGCACTTGGAAGTCCCAAATTTTTTATTTCATGCATTCAGTCATCCAAGTGCCTAATCCGGTAAATCCAAGCATGCCCAGGAATGCTCCTGGGCACTGGAGCACAGCTGTCTATGCTAGTAAACCAGCATGAAAATGAGCAATTATTGCAGAAACCGTGCCTGCTCCAGCTATGGCAGCCCCCGAACAAGTCCCAGGGATGATTCTCAGTAGGCATTTTGCCTGCAGCCACCTTCATCTGGAAGACAGTTTCCTAGCATACATGGGGGCTTGCTCTGTGCCAGCTGGCCTCCATGCCTGAGAGCACTCTGGAGCACACTTAATTTACAAGTACTGATGTAGCCAAAGGGATTCATCTTTAACATACTCTGGAGCAAAGCCAGGATGCACAGGGAATGCAATATCTTGGAAATACATGAAAATTCTTGAGAGAAATAGGCATTTTGTCACCCTACTTTCTGTCCTACCAGAGATGTGGTTCCTGGGATGGAGAAAGGCTCAAACCCTGAGCCCCAGCTGCCTGGGGAGGGGACAGAGGGGTTCATACCTGCAGCTCCAGCCAGCTGGGTGGCTGTGTCCTTGTCCCATTGGCAAACGTCCTCCTCAGCCTCTCTTCGCAATAGGGAGCGTAGCCTGGGGGACCTCCATTGATAAAGTTCCTTAAATACTGTTGGCAGGAGGGAACACATTGGTTAGGCCATCGGCTGTAGAGGCCAAGCATTTGCAAATGTTAAAAATCAATGTTTTATTGGAAAAAAGCCCATTGGGACTAATGGCAGTGATATCTCTCAGGCTCAGAAGGTTCCTACACTGCATTGCTGGAAGCTGAGAGAGAGCAGGACAATCTGCACCCCTGCCTTCTTCTTGTTCTGTGCATTTCTGGCCACACTGGAGATAAGGTACCACCATAGAAAGACCTTTTGAAGATTGAAGCTAGTGCAGCAGCTTTTGTGTTCCTCTTATTGCTGCCACGGATTTATATCTTTGTATTTTAAAGACGTATTATAAAATGTTGTTGAGTGTTGGCCAAAAAGATAGGAGGGAATGAAAAAGATCTTTAAGTAATGATCCAGGAGAACTGTAAGCAAATGCCACTCCAAACACTTAGCTGTCAGTACAAAAGGCCTTTCACAATGATGTTAAACAGATGTTTCTTTAGTCAGATTTTAAATTGCATTTTAGAAGATGCTAAACCAGAATTTGAAGCACTTCACTGTCTGTTGAGAATACAATCACATTATTGTGGAGAAAATGAAATCCAGTGACTTCGACGATATGAAAGATGATACACTTAAAGATATTACATAAATGTCTTGGTCAAAAAGGTAGATAAGACTAGTAGTTCTGTAAATCATATTTTTCAGAGAGACTTTAGATAAAGAGTTCTCTGAATGACAACACAGAGCTGTTTGTTCAGTAACACAGACTGCTCTATAACAGTCAGTCCATAAATAACATGGGTAGAGAGACAGGTATCTCTGCCAATCATAACTTACAGATATACTCTGAAACAACTAGGTAGTACAGCCAGGTTGTAGGGATGGGAGCTGTTGCAAATTATTGCAAGCAGGTGATCCTGTGTAAAAGTGTGATTTTAATAATGCTGTTAATAATGAACTATGTAATTACACATTTTTTTTGCATTTCTCCTTCCTTGTGACTGAATCTTCCCCACCATGTCCATTATTAAAGAAAGGTACGAAGAACAGGAGTGCTAATGTGTCTTGACCCACGTTTAGCATATGACGTGATAAAAGTGTCTAACGGGATCCCAATCATGACCTCGCATCTCGGGGGGAGAACGTATTGAAGACTGCCTCATCAGCTAAATCCTTCTCAAAATGTTCAGTTCTAACTGACACTTTTGAAGGTTGTGGAACAACTTCCAGGCACAACAGTTTCCCAAAATTCCTCTTTTTTTATTTTTTCATAATATTGCTGCTATTGAAGGTTTCAGGAGAAAAGTAACCAGGAGTCTGTTACAACATTCACTGCATGGAAGAGTGCAGGAAAGAAATGCTAGGAGATATTTACCCTTATAGGTTTTTCTTTCTATTAAAATGGTGGATAATTAAATAAGAAGTTAGGACATCAATTGAAAATGACATGAGGTTAACAAAATGTCATCTAGGTAACTGGCTGATAGCCAACATGTGGCTACCATACATTCCATGGTAGCTATTGCATGGTTAAAGCAGTAGTCAGTGAACTCATAGTAAATCAGATTTTGGCTGGCTACTAACTCCTGAAAACATGGTACTCATAGATTAAGAGCCTGCGAGTAAGGTCTGGCACTGACGTGGAGTTTGTCTCCCAAATCAGTATAGACTGGATTAGTTGGCTTGGGTTAACGAAGCTGCAAAACAGAAGCATTCACTGAACCCCAACAAACTTTGAATATTCCTCTGCTTTTCAGAGAACAAAAAAAGTGAGTCTGGATGGGGACGTGCAGAGTTAAATTTCCATCATGAGAATGCTTCATCTCAAAATATAACATTTTAAGCTGGAAGGTGTCAGTGATGTCCCCATGGGCAACTACAGGGGCTTCAGATGATCTCAGAGACATTGCTTAAGTCACTGCCTGTGTGTTGCTGTTGGCAAGACTGAGGCCTTGGAAGGTAACCACAGAGTGGGCTGCTGCAAGTGGTGTTTGCACTCACAAGATGCAAAAGGGTGATGAACAAGGGCAGAACTAACATAAGCTCTCTCTGAAGCTGTTGGGAATATTGTCATGTATTTCAGCACGGACCATAATTCTGGGCAGAGGCACATCTGAAACACTGGAACAGGTTGCCCAGAGAGGTGGTAGATGCCCCATCCCTGGAAACATTCAAGGTCAAGTTGGATGGGGCTCTGAGCAACCTGGTTTAGTGGAAGGTGTCCCTGCCCATGGCAGGGGGTTGGGCCATATGATGTTTAAGGTCCCTTCCAACCCAAACCATTCTACGATTCTATGTCTGAGTCTCCAGAGTTACCCATAATTTATTTCTGAGAAGTGCTTCACTCACCTAAAATAATCTTCCACTATTAAAGATTTAAACCCACACAACCTCCTGTGGCATACTTTCTCAGATCTCATTTCCTGACATAATTTAATTTTCTGCCACTTTGCCAGTGATTTATCTGCTTTATTAGATTACATACTGGCAAGGCCTGGGGATGAAGAAGGGATTTCTATTCTTGGCTTCAGCTCTTTCAGTGCTGATGACCCAGTACTTGATCTGATATCTGTGGAAATTAATGGAACATCTTCATCTCCAGCAGGCTTGGGAGCAAGTCTAGACTCCAAGATTCAAAGATGGGACAAAGGAGGTCTTATATGATGATTATATGTCTTCTCTCATATGGCTACTTTGGAGTAGGACATTTTCAGCATGACACATAGTGGGGCAAGTTGTAGTACGCAGAGAGCAACTACGCAAACATACTTCCAGGTAAACTAAACCACCCCTTTCTATGTGCAATTTTTTATATTAAGTTATACTTATAATTGGCTGTGTAGATTCCTTGCCAATTTTGTTAGAGTACACCCCTGAGGTCATACTGTCAAGGCTAGTAGATACTTGAATGAATGCATAGACTTTTGCATGTGAAAAATAGGGGAGAAATGTGGGTTGTTCTGGGTGTGCAAATTCCACTTGCAGCCTCCCACAATCGACTTTCCTGGCAGAAGTCACTTAATCACATCTTCACACATCTCCAGTGCAGGAGTCGTTATCTGAACCAGTTGTCTACACTCCCTTTAGAATCACAGGAAAGAGAAAGTTTCTTCTCAGGAGTGACTCATTCGATCTGCTTTAGACATTGAGCTTGGGATCATGCACATTTTTCTTAGGAACTTTATGTCATTTTCTTTCCTGGCAAAGACAAAGACAAGGATTCTCTCTACTGTGAAACCCAAGAGAAAAGCTTGCCCCATGGATGGAAAAGAAAATGTATTGGCAGGTAATTAATGAGATAAAGATCACCTACAATTTACCTTCACAAACTTCTCAGAAGGAGCAAAACATCCCACACAGAGGGACATCAGAATCCAACCCCTGGCATGGCTGCTTTTGGATGGGTTCTGTGTCAGCTGCTTGCAGATTTGACAATAGATTTCATCCCTGCAATAGGAAGTAAAAAAAAAAAAAAAAATAGAGCTAACAAGGTGGTCTTTTTCAACAAGAACAAAGATAGAGCCAGACCCCATCTGCACGTGATTGATAGGTCAAATAGAAAACAAAGAGTAGTGAACAGCAAGAATGAGCGTTAAAAACCAATCCAGTAGCCATTAGCACTTTCAGAAGCATTTGAATCCCCCTGTGTGGTCTTTCCATCAGGCCTGATATAGACAGTAAGGAACATGATCCTGCCCAGCCCATATTATGCAACACAACCTGAAAAATGATACGATGAGAGCTTTGTAAAGCTGCACGCAATAGCAAAATCATTTGAATAGCCCAAGGAAGAAGGAATGAAAAGAATGGCATGTTCATGCCTTTGTCTTGATTTCTAACCTTAAGGCTGGCCTGAGGATGCCATTACCAATAATGAAATGGAGCTTCTCCAGGTTGGAGGTGGGTCGGTCTTCAAGCATGCTATTACCCTGGAGCGTAGACTCACCATCATGAAGTCTCTTGGTCACCTGCCAACCAGACACATTGCTCTCTTTCAGTACAGCCAGTTACTATGTCCCCCCCACCTCCCGCCATCCCAAATGTGTGGTGCTCCCCCAAGAGGACTCCTCCACCAGCCAGGAGGGGTTTCAGAAGTTTTTCAATCTAGCACTTTAGCAGCAATGGGAGGGTTTGACTTTGTTGGCTTTAATCACATGTGGGTGAAGCTAAGAATGGTCCTGTCTAGTCACACTCCCATCTGTTTGGTCTTTGCCCAAGGTTCCTACAATGGCATCCTTGCATCCCAGCTCTGAGCTGGTCCTGCAGCTGGGAGATGGCCACCAAGGATCTTTAGAATAACTCCAGCTTATTGCAAAGGAGGACCTGTCCCTTTACCCCAGTAAAAAAATAATTAAAACACTGACAAAATGGACCCACTCCCTGCTAATGATGCAGCTGACAGCACATAAGCCTGGGGCTGTTTGTGAAAGCAGGGGTGGCATTCATCTGTCCACCAGCTCTCTGTCTCAGCTAGTCAACCCAGTCTCCATTTGGAGCCACTGGAGAAAGTCAGACATTTCTAGAGTGTGTTCATTAGGGTAAGCTAGGTTGGGTCTTGTTTCTTCTGATTGACCCTAAAGGGAAGGAAGGTGGCTATTTCAGAGACCAATCTCCATGCTCTCAAGCAGCTCTAGCCAGGTAAGGTGTCGCCTGCTCTGGAAGGGGACATAGAAGTGTGTACAAGAAGACTGAATCCATGTCTTTGCATTGCTTTCATCCTCCCCCCCCAAAAAAAAGATTTATTGCTCCTCACACCTTTGAGATGGGATTTTCAAAAGCTCTCAGCTTGGGCTAACTGCTCCCATGGGGGTTTTTGCCCCTGGCACTGGAGAGGAGCAGAGGATGGTGGGCGCGTTTGGAGACCCCACCTCTGCTACCTACGCTGTGGTGGAGGGCGGGAAGCTAAAAACAGGGATAACATTCAGACCATCACAGAGTAGTGGGAGGTATCGGCAGCTGGATGGAGGACTGTGAAAGAGGGGAGGGAAGGTGCTGGATGGATGGAGAACGGGAGCCGAGGGGAGGCCGGTGCGAGGTGCAGAATGACTCAAGGAGACACGGGAAGCCAACCTTTCCCCTTAAACACTCCTTAAATCTTTCAGGCAGAGAGACAGGTAGCGCCAAACCCAGAGGAGGGCTGGTTCTATGTTGTCTAGGGAAAAGCAGAAGAGAGTCAGAGAGGGCTGCAGACAATCCGACGGCACTTGTGCTGCCAGGCGGCCAAGCGTCTCCTCTCACCTCCTCAGTCAGTTTGGATTTCTTCTTGAGCGTTAAGGAGACCAATTTGTGCCGCACACTGTTCTTCTTGTGCCCATCAATGTGAGTACTCTGCAAAGCAAGAGGCATGGATGCAATGCGTTGAGACACAGAACCCTGCCCAGGATGTGCTTGCCCTGTCTTCCCCGGGCTTCTGCCAAAGGCCATTAGTCCTGGGCAAACAGTGAGATATTACAGAGGCTGGTAGGAACCAGAAGGGTGGACCCATATTCCTGTGCCCCCTGATAACCCAGGTCTGACTCTGAATTTTGTAGATAATCTCTAATCAATAAGCCTCCCCCAGATCAAAATTATGTATTGGAGACATCTGAAAAAAAAGTTATGTTGAATACAGGGTTGATTCCTAGTCAACCTATGTCCACCCAGTTCTGCTGTATGCCACTCAGGTTTGTTCCTACATCACAAATGAGATGAGCAAGACCACTCTCTGAGGTGACCCATTTTCACAGCAGGTTTGTGAGTTGGAAGTCATCTAGCCAGGCATTCATGGACAGCTAGTTACCCATTGCTGTTTCATCACCATTAACCAGCTCTGTGCTCAATCAGATTTCCCAGAAGAACAAATTTGATGTGAAACAGTCCCAGGCACTGACTACATATCATCAAGTTATTGTTGGCTTTCTACTTTTATCCCAAATTAGTGTCAGCTGTGGGATTAAAATGGCATGGATAGTCACTTCACTTTTTCACCCAGTTAACCTCTCTCTGTTTAAACAGCTTTGAAAAGACTGTGGTTTTACACCAGATCAACACTTTTGAGTCCTGTAGCTGTGATGGTTTATATCCATTATAAAGCCATGTTCCATAAACCTGGATTTACGTATCATCAAGCTCAGGGTCAGCTCAGACATCTCTCTGCACTGTTGTGCACTCTGCAGAGCAGATGTAACCACAGATAAAAAATGACAGCTTAAATTTTCCTTCTCTTCCATACTACCTGATGTCTCAGTTGGCCAAAATATGCCTTTTGGTAATAAACAAGCAATAAATGATAGGTAGAAGGAATGAAAGGTGATTCCTGGTGTATATTTTTACAGAATTACAATCCAGATGAGGCTATGCTCCTTCTCAGGTAATTCACTGAAAGTGCTGAATGATAGCACTGTCTCTAAAAACTAGGAGTTTTATTAATTTACATCTTCAAATACTGCAAGGGTTTGTCCAGATGATACTACAGAAAACTTATTGAAAATGCAACAGTGCCACCTAGAAAATCTCAGTACCAGGTAATATCTTGTACTATTGAATAAAGCAATTGCCAAAGATATCAGTGCTACAGACAGCGATTTATCCAGAACAATGTCTTATCTGGGAACGTCCTAAGACAAAGTCCTCCAGTGACATTCCAGAATGTACTGAGGATGGAATAGGGATTTTTTTTTTTATTTTTTTTTTTAATTTCCACAGCTTAATCCCCTGGTAACTCTTTGCTTCCTGCTCCAAGATTAAGGGCATGTTTTTAATTTAGTCTCTTCTGACGCAGGACAGATCAAAAAGAAATCCCCAAATGAGAGACCCCATGCGCTCCCCCCATGTATTTCTGCCCTACAAGGAGGAGGAGAGAGAACTAAGACCCATGAGAGATATTGGGGCACTTTTCTTACTGTATTGTTAGGGGACATTCAGTTATCCCTCTGAAGAAGAAGGGATGGGATCAACACCTGACACTCAAGCAAATCTCTTGTCGTAGCATAATTGCAAATAAAATCAACAAACTGATTGCCTGCAGCAAGCCCCACAAGTCATTTATTTCCAACACATTTCAAGATCCAACACCTAGTAACAGCATCTCTTTTACAGCCACAGCAGTTACCTCTCCTTCTCCCTGCAGAGCCTGCAGTTCTTTCTTATAGGTCTTCTTCCCAAGAGTCTCATAGATTTTTGTCATCACGGGTATCTTCTCGCCACCGTCACTCATGGCTGTATGATATTTCGGCTCAGGGAGGTCTCCCATGAAACGGAGGATAGTGATCCATACAGCAAGTGCTGCCTATTGGAAAGGAAAGTTAAACTCCATTAGCTCACACCAAGGCAGTGGAGGGGGTGGTCAAGTTATACTGAGCCCATCAGGATCACCACTGTGGTCTCCCTATACATCTGCAGGAGCTAAAACACTTTCTCTGTGTCATACGTCACACTTTTTCCTGCGGCATACATTCCATCTGAGCAGGCCAGGCAGGCTGGTGGCTGGGATCACAAATTCAGGCTCTGTGTTCATGCTACCACGAGCATGTTTGTACACCCTACAAGGGGTTTGCTTCTTGGCTAGGAGATGCCAACATCATAGAGAGGCAGTGACTGGCACTTCCCCACTGCAGAGGGGAAGGAGAACCACAGTGAAAGCAGGTCCACAGAATCACAGAATGGTTTGGGTTGGAAGGGACCTTAAAGACCATCTAGTTCCAACCCCCCTGCCATGGGCAGGGACACCTCCCACTAGACCAGGTTGCTCAAAGTCTCATCCAACCATTAGCCATGGACAATGCAATGTTCGTTACAGCCATACAGGTTCAGTACAATTCTACTCTTGTACTGCTGGCTGTAGGACAAGAATTTCTTCTCCACTAGCTCTGCCCTGGTGCATATGATGAGGTTGCTGAGTAGCATCTTTACAAGTGGTACTTGCTCAACAGTTTCATTGTTCATGCCCCGAGCTCAGAGCACCTCCTTAACTGGCTTAACACAAATATCAAGGCACAGAGATGGACTCACCACTAAAGCGTGCTGGTGGGACAGTGTCTATTGACACATCTGCTGTGCTCTCCACCGAACCACAAGCACACCAGAGTGTTCTTTCCCTTTTCCAAAGGGAAATTGCTGGGGCCCTTTGGCTGAAGGGTTCGCTATGCTTGCTTGAACCCACCTTGCCATGCTCAAGGGTTTCCATCCCCTGCCTTACCAACTGGTCTCCTTCATCTTCATGGTACAAGAGAGGCTGCTTGAGAGGCCGGCGGATGTAGGTGTGTGTTGTCGTGCCCTGGAAATATGTGGCGGCAAACTTGGCAAATTTGTACTCGGAGAGGTCTTCCTCCTCTTCTTCAGGGAGAGGCAATGCTGCATCAAGGTCTTCTTCCTCCAGCTCCTTCTGAGCTCGTTCAAGATCCTGGTGGGGAAGGACATGCCGGGCATTCAGCATGGCTTTGGATACAGAGCTATCCTTTCCCCTTTCTGAGGGGAGTGGCACCTGTTTTTTCTGCCCACCTGATTTCCATCCCAAAAGAAAAAGCCAGCTGGAGTGAAAAACACGCAATATAACTCTGGAGCCCATGCAAAGCCCGAGTACTGGAGGACATGCCTGTGTCCAGGAAAGTCCCCAGAGCAACAGGAGAAGCATCAAGCATGGCCCCACTCCTAGCATGGGGGAAGGACATCCAAGAGCTAAATACCAGGAGCCGTGGTGAACCACAAGGGAGATCTCAAAGGCCACAAGTCCTCAATGATCTTATAGTGATACTGCTCCCCTCCATGTGGCAGCCCCAGAGAAAACCTGCAGACTGCCTGTCCCCAGCCACAACACAGAAACCCTCTGGGGCCATCCAAAAGAGCCTCGTCTTGAATAAATCCTTCAGAGACTCCCTTTTGGATTGCCCTACTCTCCCCTGATTCGTTAATGAGTTGCTAAATCCTCTTGTGTGACAGCCAGGCTCATGTATGTCTCCAGTACCTCGAAGCCATTGGGTGCCTGTCCTTCCTGACCAGGCAGAGAGGAGGTCGTCCCCAGGAATCCAAACATTTTGTCCACCATTTCCGAGTCATTCACTGGCTCGTTGCGAGCTTTCTCCATTTTTTCTAAGAGCTCTTTCTTCCGACGTGCTTCCTCCTTCTCCTTTACTTCTCTCTCTGCGTCTTCCCGCGCCAGCTGGGCCAGGCGTACCTGCAGGAGGACAAGTACAATGACTGACCTGCTCCCTCCACAGAGTTGGCACTTAATTCTACAGGGACTGGCTTTAGAAAGACAGACTGCTCGGTGCCTGGACCACTATCCCAGCAACATGACTTGGAGCAGATCAATAACACATCCGTGCCTCAGTTTCCTAACTGCAGAAGGACAAAGCAATAGCGTTTTCTCCTTCCTTAGTGCCTGTTTAGAGTGTTTGGTCCATGCACAGAGACCCTCACTGACCTTATTTTTAATTTTGTATAGCAAGCATGCATGTGCACACACACAGAGTGTCCCAGTTCCCCCTTCAGCCTTTATACAGCAGCAAAGGCAAGCAAATAATAACTGTAATCTCTGGAATTCCTGTGCAGCAAATCAGAAATTCTGGAGCAGCTTCAAACTAGTTAGAGCACAGAGTGCTTTAGTGAATTAAATACAAACTTCTCAAGCAGAGTAGAAATCCCTCAGATATTTTTGGCATTCCCCCTCAAAGGAGCAAAAACAGTCCCTGGAAAACAGACACAGAGCCCCAGAAAGAGATCAGTCCCCACGTACTTGGTGTTTCTTTTCTGCTTCCTCTTTGGCTTTCTTGGCACTCATCTCCTTTCGGAGTCGTTCCTCTTCTGCCAGACGAAGTTTCTCTGCTTCCAGGCGTCGATGATACTGGGCAAATAAGCACAAGAGCCCTTCTGAATAGGCATCTACTTATTTTTGAAATACTTTTTTGCTCTTTAAATATGAATCCCATGAGCACATGATGCAGAAGCATGTTTATTCCCATCTCCCCACCTCCATTTCCCACCACCAGCCTCTCCTCCGTGGTACTTACTTCGCCCCGGAGGCGCTTGTACAGCCTTCGGGCGATCATGCCCCGGGCGTATGCCTGGACGGTGAGGACAGCCCAGAGGCGGTGACGGAAAGCCCTACGGACCAGGTAGCCCCGGCATCGTGCCTGGAACTCGATGATCCGCCGGCGAGCCATGTGGTACTGCTTGTGGAGCTTGCGGGATCGGTAGAGGGCTTGCAGTCTCAGGAAGCCGATCCGCATCTGCAAGAGGGAGCAGGATGAAACCACCCAGGGGCTCACCCACTGTAAGCAGATTTCCATCCCTAATCTCCTTCTTGCATGGCTGTAAATAAGAGCCACTGAAATCAGCCCCCACCAGGACAAGCCTTTGGGAAGGAGGTTCTCCAAGAGGGTGGAGAAATGAAGCATTCCAACAGCTGCACTGATTCAAAGCCCAAGAAGGACAAGGGCAGTTTCTTCCCCACTGAGTCCTAGAGAGTTTCTGTCCTTGAGAGTTTGGTAATCTCAAAGTAGCCACAAACCATGAAGGTTGCTCCCAGGGAGATCCAACACCTGCAGATCTCCTGCCTGACAGCCAAGTGGCTGTTTCATGTCAGGAGGCAATGTCTTGACCAGCCTGGAAGTGGCTACGCCTATCAAGTTGCAGGCTTGGAGGATGATACTGAGACACTTCAGACCCCAACACACTTCCCAAATGACCCACTGTTGGGTCAGAGACAGGTGGGACAGGCAGAGAAGAGGGCCATGGACTGGGCTGAGGAGAAACCCAGATATGGTCCCACCTGGAGATGGAGTCTGTTTTCAAGAGGAAGATTCTCTTGAGCTTTCAGTCCCATGGAAACTAGGGGAAGACTTTTAAAAGCCCAAGTGACCAGTTAGTGCAACAGACATCCAACTCATGAGGAAAAGGACACCTGGAAGGTGGTTAGGTGCTCTCTTCAATGAGACGGCAAAGCAGCAAGAGCAAAACTCCAGTCATCTCTCCAACTGATGAAAGCCAGCCCCACCCACTCCTACACTCAGTGGGGCATTTTGAGCCAGGAAACTCTTATGTATGTCCCAGCTTAAAGAGGTAGGAAGGCAGAGGTGTGAGGAAACACCACCATACTTACAGCACCGTAGTTCTTCCTGCAGTTATGTCCACGCCAGTATCTCTGAATCATCAGGACTGAATTTCTCACTTTCAGGAAATTGGACCTGCAAAGGCATTTCAATCACTTGCCTCTGCGATTTGGCTACAAGTTATTACCATCTCCTAGGCCTCATTCTTTGGAGATTTGAAATTGAGCTGGCAGGTCGAGTAAACACTGCATTTTTGGCCTGAAAAATTCTCCTCCTCCAGCTCTTCTTGCTTTCATAAAAAGATCTGTAGCAGCTCTCTCTGATAGGTGTCTACAGGCTATGGGAGTGGGCAGAGCAGGAGATGATGAGAGTGGTCCCTTTCTCCAACCCCACTGCACCCTCCTCTCTCATCTGAAATCTCTTCCCTGCTTGCTCTCCCAGTTTCAATCCCTGCACCCAAGAATGGGTTCAATCATCTCACACAAAACAACAAGAGCAAACTTCAGCAACACCACCCTTGCCCCTATCTGCTTGTCCCATCCTTCTTAGCCTGGCCTGATCCTACCTGTAGATACCTGGGGGACAATTGTGTTGGAAGGACTTCAGGGTCTCACTAGGATTACTGAGTTATTTGGCATGTGCCCTTTTTGAAAAAACCCAAGGCACGACCTGAGTCACAGCCATGGCATGGACAATCAAAGAGCACAAAGCCCCAAGAACTGTCTCTCCTCTGTGGGTGAAGCTTATCCTTGGCTGTGGCTCCCCGTCTTCTTCCACAGCCATGAGCTCCCCGTAGGCTACCTGCCCTCCTCCTGGAGGAGTCTGGAACCCCTTGGGTTTCGGGGAGACCAACGCTAATCACATCATCTCAGTGGTCCCGTTGCAGTCTTGTAGGGATCCCCATAGACTGGGGGCTTAGTGTCACGTTCACCAGGCTCAGAGTGCCTCTGCTGCTTTGCCATAACCAACATCAGCTTCCCTGAAGACAGCAGAGAACAGTGAAGGTCCTATTCTGTCTGTGTTTGAGGTGGATAATACAGTTTTCCTCTTGTTTCCTCTACTGTTTTCCTCCAACAGTTGCTGCACCTGAGTGCCAACATCAGGGCACACATCAGGGCTCCCCTCTCCCCAGCTGCAGGTGGGACAGGTGAGATGAGCACCAGGTGATGCATCCTGCAGGAGCAGCTTGCTGGGTGAAGCATCCCAGATAGCCCAACTCCCATCTGGCAGTCAGGCTCACCCCTACCTGTCTTTAAACCCACGGACCACCTTCTGGATGAGGATGACTTTGTCCGTGATGGCCTTGTCTCTCTCAATCTCCAACAGCATGTCGTGGTGGTCCTGTGGGAGGAAAGGATACATATCTGAATCTCTCCATCTGCCTGATGTGGCAGGAGGGGTGTTACAAGGTCCTGCCCGAGAGGAGATGTCCAAAATAAACTCTTGGAACATTTTGCATCCCAACTACCACTCCCCCTACTCACTGGAGAAATCCTAACATAAACCCTAGGGATCTACTGCCTTCATTCCCATATGAACCAGAGTGGCCAGAAGCTGCATATGCAATAATTCAGTCTGAAAACAAACAGATTATGCTTCTCTTCCATGCAGAGCTCCTTGCTAGTGCTGTGAGCCACAGGAACAGATCCCAGGAACACTGGAGAGGTTTGGGAACAAACTCCAGGCTGCTTGGGTCCCATCACTCCCTCCAGCCAAGGATGCAACGCCTCCATACCCTAAGGACAAAACAGCTCCTGGAAACACTGAATTTCCTTGCCCTGAGGATTTCAGATGCATCAGTCCAAGCTTTCTATGGATTCCTCCCACGCTGTTTGTATAACTCATTTTTCTTTCCTGGTGGTGGCATGCTGAGCCCTGCCGCGCTGGGTGCAGCAGAACCAGCTCCACATGTTTCCTGCTTTGTTCGACCTCACACAGCCTCCTGGGGCCTCCCGAATTCTCTGTTTCCTGCCCTGACAGCTGTAAGATCTTGATAACAGGATCTGGAAAGAGCAACGAGTGGGAACAGCTTCTAGGCAAGAGGTGGGAGTGTTTGCACTGGTAATGGGGCTGGGGATGAATTTAGATATAAGCGGTCAGGGTTTACCACTGAGATTTTTGCTCAAGAGAAGCCTTTGTTTCCAGACTGGTTTCTGTCCAGCTCAGCTTCATCTTCCTGGAGTGACACACGAATGGGTTTGTAAGGAGAAGGAGTGTGAATGGGGCTGCAGGGGACCTGCAATGCTGGGTTGCTCCGTGTCAGCTGGATGGATGCAGAGAAGGAGGCTGTAGACCCAAGAACCCATGTCTTGGGTCATGCAAGGACATGCTGAAAGCAAAGTGACCCTGCTGTGCTCTCAGTCCCTCTCTCTGCAGGGCTCTGCATGGACATAGGTTGCCCAGGGAAGCTGTGGATGCCCCATCCCTGGAGGGGTTCAAGGCCAGGCTGGATGAGGCTTTGGGCAACCTGGGCTAGTGGGAGGTGTCCCTGCCCATGGCAGGGGGGTTGGAACTAGATGATCTCTAAGGTCCTTTCCAACCCAAACCGTTCTATGATTCTATGACATCCCTCCAGCTGCTGTGCCTTTTGGGTGAAGGCAGGAGATGAGGCTGAGCAGCTCAGCCCCGGAGGGAAAAGGCCATGTGCTGTATGTGACTATTTCTGTGTTTGTACAGGTATGTGCATGCATCAGTGCTGGCAGAGTGTCAGGACTTCCTCCTGCCCACGGCTTCCTAAACTGGTCCCAAATATCCTGCCTTGGCCCAGGTTCTGCCCACTGTCACACCAGCCCAGAGACCATGGCCAAGGGTCACATCTGATGATTAAAAGGAGATGGTAGGAGACTCCTTCACAGGCAAGGGTTCCAGATGGCAGGAGGGACATGGAGCGCTGCCTACCTTCAGGAATATCTTTGTCTTGCCAATCTGCCAGTCATCATCCTTCCCGAGCACTGCTTCGGCAATGCGCTGGCACGTCCCACGAAGGTCACCCTGGTGGGAGAGGGCGTGGGATTCACTAGGACCAGCCTCACCCCCTGCTCCTCCCAAGCCCAACAGGGACCCTTTCTGGTCCCAATTCCAGCAGTTTTCTGCTAATGAGGTTCCAAGGACTTTACAGTGAGTCAGAGCAACACAGTGAATAGGGTCCCCTACCCCTGCCAGCCCCATCACCATTCCTCCATCGTTTGGAAAGCCAGAGCAACACTGTGACATTTCGGGGTCAAATGTTGCATAATTGCTTTTGGATAGGATGCACACTCCATAAATATCTCTGGAGAGCCCAGCAGAGAGCAATTGTTACCCATGGAAGAAGATGCTCACCTGCTTGTATGCTGGCTTCACCCCGGGCATGAGCACCCGGTACCGGTCCACAAACTCCACAAATGTATAGCGGATGGGATAGCCAGCCCGGCGGATCCGGATAGTCTCCATCATCCCTGAGTACCTCAGCTGACGGACGCACAGCTCCCGGTCAAACAGCTGGGGAGGTTACAGGACACATTGGTTTGGTCACACATCTTGGCCTGAAATGGCCATAAGAGAGTGGGGACTCTGAAGATCCTGCACATGGGTCGGGACAATCCCAAGCACAAATAGAGGCTGGGAGGAGAATGGCTTGAGAGCAGCCTTGAGGAGAAGGAATTGGGGTGCTGGTTGATGAGAAGCTGAACAC